TTCGAGCCATCTCTTGTGGTTACCACCGAATTCTTCGAGGGACCTCTTGCGCTTCTTCGATACCGGACGGGTGACGATATGGTCCCAGTAGCCCTCCTGGTTCCTGTGTGGACGAAGGAGGTTAGGATGAATTACTAAATGTGAAGAATAGGGGTACTCACGAATAATCGATACGGAGCTGTGTGTCACCGTACTCTCTAGGAACAAGCTTGAAGTTGTAGCCAAACGTGAGGTCATAGATCACGGGCGGGCTTGCCGTTCGTCGAGTGAGGTGTCCCGGCAACGTCTGGTTATGGGAAACCTCCAGGCTCTCAACGACGGCATACTTGCCCGGTCCGCAGCCCTGATCTTGCGGCATCTCGATGATGGTTCCTGGTGCACCATTTCCGAGGAAAAGCTCTTTGCAGTTGCTATCCTCAGAATCGTTCATGCAAACCATCTGAACAGTCTGCACGCCAAGAGAGTGAGCATCGTTGCAGTTGAAGAGCTCCCAGTGGGAGCCGTCGCGCTTGTCGAGGGTGACTTGGATTTCTGTAGGACTGGCCATGACGTAGAATTGAATGGCAGATTTGTTCGGATCGTCGTTGCTGCCGCCGGTTTGCGAGCCGCCCCAGGTGTCGTCTGTCTTTGTGTTGCCCTTGGTCTTGACATCGTTACCGGTAGGGGGGTCGGGGAACAGGTCTTTCAGGGCGGCCGGGAGGAAAAGGTTAGAGCCACTAGGCGGATCGCAGCAGAAGATACGCGCGCGATTTGGGTCGGGATGCGGGAAGCACATCTCACCACCACCGGCTCCGGCCCAGGTGAGCATGACCTCCGTATTAAGGTCGCAGTGAGCGTCGAAACAACTTCCGGGCTTGCCCTTCCATTCGCAGTTCTTCCACTTCTTGAACTCTTCGTCATCGCAGCACCAGAGACTGATCTTCTTCCACGTGTATTCGTCTAAGGCATCTTCGAGCGCCGTACCCGTGAGACTCTGGAGATGTTTGAGATCGACATCCGGAGACTTTTCGCCAATGTTGCCGTTCCCAAACGCGCCAGAGAAGGTAAGTGCCTTTTGTCCGCTTGGGCACTTTTTTCCATTGTCGTGGAACCTGCACTTGTCGCCGTCGCTGTTCTCGGCCTTGGTTTTGCAGCAGTACATCTTGTTGCCGTCTTCACAGTACTTGCCGTCGCCCCATTTGTTCATTTGGAGGCCGACCTCGCCAAATTCGCAACGGCCATTGCAGGTTGGTGCGTCGCCTTGGCTTCTCCTATATGGCTATCAGCGACAAGGTTTGGGACAATAGACAAAGGTGTAGGTCTTACCATTTACAGTCCTTCGGATCCGGTGCAGAGTTGACGGGACAGCAGAGCGTGCTGTCTTCTTCGGAGGAGTGTCGCGTGAAGAACGTAGCATCTCCACACGGTTGAGTTGTGACGGCCTTGAAGCCAGCTTTGTCGCACTTGCCTCCACAACCAGTGACGTAGCAATTCTGGGCTCCTAGCTGTTCCCATGTGGCCGCTCCATCTTCAGAAAGGGTTTGTCGCAAAGCCAACGCCTTGGTGGTCGGGCCAACGACAGCACCGAGGGCGTCTAGGTTGTCCGTGTCTTGGTCAATCTAGAAAGCAGTCAATACCCAAGCATGATTTCGATGTGCATCCGTGTTCTTCGGGAAGCCAGATGGCATGCATATGCAATGAATGACGGGTGTGCCGACTTACCGACCAGATCAGCAGCCCGCCAAGGCCTTGCTCGTTTGCAAAATCGATCTTGGCCTCGATGGTTTCAGGGTCATCCTAGATGGAGTCAGCATATGCCTTCCTTCACGAAGGCTGACATCAACTTGATGCGATAAAATGACCCCACATACGTAGCTAACCCATTGGTTCTGGTTCCAAACAATGTACTTTATTTGGTGCTCCTTGTCGTAGTACGGCTTGAGATCGTGTTTCTTGATGATATCCTCGATCTCACGGTACGCCAACGTTCCAGAATTTGCAGTGCACTGATTTCAAACTGTCAGTAAATGAAGGATGAACTCATCCATGCTCAAGTGTAAAAACACCAACTTACCGGACCAGGAGCTGCACCTCCGCGAAACTGGCATCCAGGCTTGTTGCAAGCCGGGTCCGTCAGCTCGAAAGAGCGACCGTAGAAACCAATGCCAAGGTTGAGCTTCTCGGGAGGAATGTCATTGCGCCAGTACAGGTCAAGTGCGAGCTTGATCTCAGTGAGATTTGAGTGTGCGAGAACATTAGAACCGATGGGGTTCCAGGCATCCCAAACGCCGTGCAGACTGTCTCAAGTTAGCCAGGAACTGAGCACACCCATGAGTAGATGGCTCCCCGAGACCGGCAAGGTAGGGTTTGTTTCAGAAGCTGCGACTTACTCGTAACCTACAAAATCGAATTAGAAATTTTGGCTTCGGAACGTCATAGGATCGCGAAGAAGAAATACTTACTCATAATGTTCACAAAGTCGACAGCGTCAGTACTTGCCTTAAGATCGAAGTGTCGCAGATACCAGAAGCTAGTCGGCGTAGTGAATGACACAACATAATCAAGGGGTTGGTTCTTGATGGCCTCCTTGAGTTCTTTGAGCAGGAGTGTAAAGTTCTTGCCATCTTCTTCCGCGCCGCCGCGATCATCAGCTCCTGGATATTCCTTCGGGAAGATTGTCAGCGAATTGTAAGACGGACGTTGAAGCAGAGCTCAAACATACCCAATCAAAATCAACACCATCGAAACCATACTAGAATTCAACGTCAGCTAGAATGACCCGGATCAAGGGTCAGGAGATGTTTATCACCTGGCGCATAAAGCTCATGAGATTGCCGATGAACTTGGATCGGTTTGCTTTACTGCTTGCAACATCATGGAAGACGAGCTGGGTTGCACCAGGGTCGTTAAAGGTCCACCCTCCAAGGGCTACCATGACCTTAAGAGCTCGGTTCTGCTTCTTCATGGCGGTCATCTTGGAGAAGAGATTCGGCTCCAGGTCGTCCATTGGAACGATCTGAAAGTCGTTGGGCGAGACGTAGGCGAAGGAAAACATAAGATGAGTCAACGCTCCCACGGGCATTTGGTCGATCGACATGCCATTGCATGCTCGGGAGTGTACCCATGCCTCGTAGTAGCCTTATCAAGTCAGTGATCCAGGCTATCTTCTGATACTGTTGTAAGAAGAGATAACGTACCAACCACTCTTTGACGGACATTTCCGTTGGATGACCCTGACCCTGGCTGGTCGCAATTGCTTTGGCAGCTGGTTTCCTCATCGTCGGTCTTTTTGCAAAAGTCTTCGGTCATGCCGCAAAAGCCAAATGGCGAGCAGCAACTGCATATCCACACACCACAATCAGCATCTATCTCGTGAGATGATTAGAAAGTTGTGAAACTTACACGTTCAGAGGGCACTCCTTGCCCTCTGTTTCGGCATATCGGCCACACTCTGCCTTTGCATCGCAGTTACTCCAGCATTTGTCATTAGGAGATTGGCCGTTTGTACCACAGGCCTCCGGGCCGTAGTTGCACCACCCGGTCTTGGCACAGCAAGCGCCTGTTCATCAATCAACGTTAGATAGAGCCAACTCACGCTGAAAACCGAGACAGAAACTAACCGTTGCCGCAAGGTCTGAATTCGTTACAACTATAGTCCTGCTCTTGAGTCACCTGGCGACCCAACAGCAGATCACGAGTTTGAATCGCTGCCAGTTCGACACTGGTAGGGCAAAGGGGAAGGTTCCGATCCTGAGCTGGTTTGACTGAGTAGTCGAAAGGGCTGCCACAAAAGACATTAGAAACATGTCTCTATAAGCAGAATTCCATTTACGAACTGGTAGGCTTCGTTACGGCATGTTGTGGTTGCCAATTCGGCTTTGGATGGGCCATCTCGGCTGCCGGTAGGAAAAGCATAGGAAAATAGTGAGAAAAGAGAAAGGAAAATAATAACGAATGTAGAGGAAGGAAACTGTCGAAAGAGTGTGTTGTGGCCTGCCATTGTGGCGGCTACGAATGCTGTCTGAACGAATGAATGACAACTAGCAAAGGCAAAATGAAGCCAATTTGTCCTGAGAAATAAACATCATGATTTTGCCCCGACGAGTGAATACTAGAGTACATGTATTCTTACAATCCCTCGGACTTGTCTGCCCCACTACCCTGGAAAGGGTCTTTCGAGGAGACTCTTCGCCTCGAGCACGGAGATTTTCGGACGCTCCCGACGACAGGGGTCTCCATCTGTAGGCTGCAGGTTCGCGCTGATGACTTTCAGGCACCACGCGGGTTCTGCAGGGGAAGTCGACAAGGGTCAGGCGGCCGCCGTGTGCGAGCCTCTGGGTGCCATAGTGGAGTAAAAGTCGCGATAAAGTCGGTCTCGGGACTTGGCACAACCTAAATTAACTTAGCTCACGGAGTAAGCTTCTCTTTCTTAAGCATCGGGAGGAATTAGCGCTTACACGTTGTATTTGCCGCAATCCTTCACTGGGGAGTAAACCCCATCTTCGTTGCGACTAGCATTGGATGCAGAAAACAGGGGAATGGGTATTTGCAACCTGCACAATTCTAATTACCGCATGCCTATGACTGGCCCTGAATCCTTCGCCAAGCCGGACTCGCCATCTTTGGCGAAGAATTCAACGAAATCACACTTCAGTTGGAGTCTAGAGTGCAACTAGTAAGCCGGAAAGTGGGCGTGATGCTCACCTGGTCAGCGCAGCAATCATTTAGAATGCAGGAGGGCTGAAATTGACGGTGTCAGGCAGCATCTTTCACATGAACGCGATCCATTTCGGTCGTTGGCGTCGGTGTTGCCAAGATCGTGGCCGGTATTCATTGCCGCAACGTACTTCAAGTTCATATTATGACTGTGGTCTACCTATGCGCGATTGCTTTCTCCTCGGTTCCTCACCAGAGCCTTTTTGGTCTTCCGTTTGTCCTTTGAGTCTCGAGAATCTCGAACTCCCACAATCCTTATTACTGTCTCCTTGACAGAGCCTCTCGTTTAAGCCGTTCCCGCCAATATGGCGTCCACGCTCTTTCATACCCGGTCTTTGCCGGCCATCACCCTGACATTCACTCTTTTCACTTCGATAACCCTCGGAAGCCAGCTGTTCACCACCAACACTGTGCCAGAGGGGCTAAGCGCAGGATGTTCTAATGCTCTCGTGGCCGATATCCCTTGTGGGAACGGCATCACCCTGTTCACCAGAGGGGAGTATTATCCCCTCACAGACTTAAAAGCGCTTTGCGTGGACTCTTGTGCCTCTGCACTCGAGGCCTACCACGTCGATGTGGTTTCCAGTTGCGCTGCAGATAACTGGCCCGAAGAGATGGAGGTCGACATGCCGCTCGTTATGATCAGCGAGCTGCTGAGATATAACTACAACCTGACATGCCTGACGGACAGCGGCCGCTTTTGCAATAATGTTGCCGCCGCTTTCGCTGCCTCACGCGATCCGGAGGCGGCGAATGTACAAGGTGCTCTGCCTGCCGGCGGCGACTTTGGTGACTACGTGCCGTCTGATACGTGCGACGGCTGCTTGGTGAAGAACCTTCGGTTCCAAGCCGGATCTCCTTACTTTGACGGACCAAGGCTGCAGGCTCAGTCAGTCTACGAGTCTCGCACGGCTGATTGTGGCATCACGGGAGCACCTCTCGTCACTACCACGATCAGTCTGTTCACGTAAGTATTCGTTCTCTTATCGAAATAAATTACCACGACGCGAGGTGTTCAACACATCACAAAATTTTGGAGATAGGAGAACGTTAGCTGACAAACCGTCCGTAGACAAACAACAGCGGCTCCGACGCCCACGCCGACCTGCACAGGAAAGACTTACTCCATTCAGCCAGAGGACGATTGTAATTCCATCTCCGTAGCACAGAGCATTGGAACGGAGTGGCTCCTCTGGGACAACGACTTGCTGGCATTCTGTCACCAGTTCCCTACCGAAGGAGAACTTTGCCTGGTCAACACTTGTGATATCTACACGGTTGTTGAATCTGACACCTGTGACAAGATTGCAAAGGCTCACGGCATGACTGTGACTCAGCTACTATCTTGGAATCCTGTAGGTATTCCCTATTTCTACATGAACGTGGGTTTGTAAAGGAGACTAACTGGCGCAAGTCAATCAACTCTGGATGCTATAATCTCAATCAAACCATTGGCCATCAAATCTGCGTGTCGGTTCCGGGGACTCCTTATGTGGAGCCATCGCAGACAACTTTGCAGCCCTCAATTCCCCTGACTGCTGCGCCGGTTCCCACGAATGTTGCGGCCGAGACGAACACATATTGCGGCAGATACTACACTGCTATCCTTGGAGACTATTGCAACTTAATTGTTATGAAATTCGGAATTTCCATGGACGACTTCTTATTCCTCAATCCCGCAATTAACGAGAATTGTACCAACTTGTACGCCGAGGAGTCATACTGCGTGCAGCCCGTCGGAGACTGTAAGTTTATCCAGACTCACATGCTTTCTTACTCTGAGTGAGTTCTAATCGGAGGTGCCTAGTAAACACGTACACCGGAAAGCCCGGACACATCACCTTCGCGATCACCATGACGGGAACCGCCGAAGACTCTGCAACAACGCTGCCTGACAATATCTGGACGGCTCCAACTCCCACGACGACTCTGCTTCCCATTGCTACCGGAACAAGGAAGGATTGCTACCACTATCTAACGGGAGACGACTGGCAGAAAGACATGACCGGAATGTACTTGGCATCCAACTGCGCTCTTGCCGCCGAGGTCTTTGACGTTACCCTAGAAGACCTCGAAGTCTGGAACCCGAGTACGTCTCATTCATACTTGAACACTATGCGAGCGCAGTCCTCGCTAATCACATTCCTTGGTAGTACTCGGAAACGCATCCGATGATGGATGCTCATTCGAGAGCGGTTTCCGCTATTGTGCAAAATGGTACACTGGCTCAAAGAAGTTCACAAACCCGGATCCGCTGGACTCAAGCTTACCGGCTCGGGTGAGTAAATGTTCCTCTCTGTCTATGAACCTCAGTTCAAATCACTGACTTCTTACTCAGGATGGAATGACAGAAAACTGCACTCAAATTGTTGAGGTTGATACCAACGGTAGCCCTTCATGTTCAGAGATTTTGAGTGAATGGTCTCTGACCATCGCTCAATTCTATGCGTGGAACCCAAGTGTAGGCCCAGAGTGCGGTGGTATGTGGGCAGGTAAGAGATCCAACAAGTTTCTAAGCCCAGAAATAGTGGCATATAGAGAAGCAGAAGAGACTAACTCTCACACAGGGTACTACTACTGCATCAGAACCTCAGATTTCGTGGAACCGTCAGCGACAGCAACCATTACGACTTCAACATCAGCAATCGCTTCGTCGACCGCAGGCCCAACACCTCCTGCAGCAACTCACGACGGCCAACCAGCTAATTGCAACAAGTGGCATGTGGTCACTGGTAAGTCGATTTTTCTGACAATTTGAATCGATTGACTCTTACACATTCTGAACAGGCGGCGACTGCTCCACGGTCGAGGCGGAGTACGGTCTCACGCATGCCCAGTTTCTGGCTCTGAACCCTGCTGTATCAGAAGACTGCCTCACAAACTTCTGGGGTGGTTACGCATACTGCGTCGGTACGAGCGACAGCGTGACCACCACCGGCGGCTCGGGGGTAACCTCCACTTCGGCGCCGGTATCCACTCCGACTCCCACCAACGGCCCCGTTGCGGCACCGTCGCCAAATCAGGCGGGCAACGCGATCGCAACGTGTAACAAGTACGCCCAGGCTCCATCAGGCGACTGGTGTTCAGCCTTCATCGAGAGGTACGGTCTCGCGGCTGCAGACTTTTACAGTTGGAATACGGTGCTCGGAACCAACGGTGAAAATTGTGGCACCAGCTTCTGGGGGACTTATTGGTACTGTATTGGTGTTGCGGCGTAAGATCTTAGTCCCAGCCCCATAGTGTTCTAATTGCCCCTTGAAACCACATCTATCACAAAAATCCATGCGGATGATACCCGTGCTTTCTTACTAGGCGGGTATGCGGCAACTCCTTCGCTCCATATTGCTGATCAGTAAAAACAACCAATCTAGTTGCTTTTGCAGTTCCTTTCAACACTTGTGAGACCAACCTAGGTAGTCGCCTAGGACCTTGCCAAAAGGTTGTGAAAGGCAACGTGATAGTTGCCTTACCTGCACCGTAATTTCTTTCGGGCTAGATGACTGTGATGTGTTATGATTATCAGCTAAACAGCATCGTACTGATGTGACATCGTCTGCGAGTGTTTGAACCATATATCTTGGCACGTTACGAGCTTGACGTTTATGACGCTCTCGGGAACAGCCAAGCAACTTGAAACCGGCTGCTTTATGTTATCAACTCAATCTGTTGCTCTACTCTACAGATTGCAATTATTCTTAGTCTCAGACTCCTGACCGTTGTCGAAGCCGAAATCAATACTCTACAAACATTATTATTGGAATCATTTATTCTCCCGTCACAGTCCTCCACTTCCAGATGTTCCACTAAATAGGTTGCTGATTCATCAGCCTCCATTCTCCCTCTGATTCATTCCCTTTCACTATTCTCAGATCACTTAAGAGGGCATGGCTCAAAGGTATGCATCACCTCTAGCTAATCCTTCTACTGCGCCAGGAAATGATTCAAGGCCACTTTCTCAAGTCCGTCAGTGTAGAGTTGCAACACTCCCCATGACTCTGCGCTCTTTCAACATAGTGTTGTAAACGCTTGGTCTTGTTTTTGCTGTGGTGCCCTAAGCTCTTCCGGGTATGGTCTGTTTTCGATGCGTGGCAGCTCTTATTCAGACCTGTCCCTCAAGGTGATCACGTAGTGCACTGTAAGATATATTGACAAGACGATTCACAAGATCGACTTTACTTTGTGTTACCCATATGGCTATAAGAATAGCAAGCACATCAATGCTGCAGCACAAAAGGTCCAAAGCCGGCAGTTAAGGAGCGGGGTACCTAGGTAAGGAAGGAAGAACTTTGTCATTCAGCCGTCAGCACTAAGCAATTTCCAGTATATTCTGGCCTTAGTCAAGCCTGAAGGCCAGGCGTTTCATCCCTGGGGTTTTAATAAGGTATCGCGTCTCTCCTCTTTCCTTTTTTGAGCAAAACTTCTTCAAGTTTTTCCCGGATCCTCCAGCTGTCAACGCTTCACAATGACTACTCATATCCCCTCTATCTACAAAGCCATCTTCCTCTACTGGGACCCACCGTGCGCGCTCTGGGGCGCGTTCATGTCCTTCTTCACGCGTGACTGGATGCTTGACCAGTTCTTCCTCGAATCCCACACCGGAACGCGCGATGCAGCCCACGACATGCTCCTCTACCAGGGTGGCGGAGCTCTGGTTGGCTGTGCTATCCTCAATGGCATACTTCTACGATACACGCAAGACATTGGAGTATGGAAGATCGCGCAAGCCGCTATTCTAGCTATTGACCTTTCCCTTCTTGCGGGCACCTACGAGGTGTTTGGGAAACAAGGCCGTCTCTCCCCAATGACGTGGCAGGTTGGGGACTGGGTTGGGATGATCATCACGATTGGAGTGACGGTGGCGAGGGTCTCGTTCCTGGCCGAGCTTGGCTTTAAGAAACAGAAGTTGAAATAAAGAATACGAGTGTGACTGTTCAAGTCGAAGGAGATACCTCTTAGTAGCTGATTGAAATCGCGCCAATTAATTTGGCATGAGGAATCGTGGGGTAGGGCAGGTTTGCACGATGAGGAGATATTGGTGATCGAATACCAATGCCATATGACGGCTCATGCGAGTGGTTCACAGGCATCTCGGGAGGGATTAGACATCCTTATATAATGTACTCGACATTGCCTACTAAGTTTGACTTTGCGTATCTATATAAAATAACAATATATCCTAGGTCCTCATACACTACCCTACCTCAGGAGTGTTCCAGTCTTATCGAAACAAGAATCGTAATTTATGTATATGCAAGCCATTCTGTCACACAGCAAGACGTGGAGTGGTTGGGACATAGTGCAATATTAGACACGTTTTTTTCGAGTTGTTCTTGATGTTATCAATCATTACTGCTTCCCAACACCTTATCACTACATACAAGTTCCCTCATAATCATACCTTGGTGGATCTATAGTGGTCGTATCTGAGTACAGCATTGAGAAGAACCTGCGCTCCGTTACCGCAGTCCGTCGGCGAGCAATACTCAGTAGGGTTGTGGGTTATTCCCTCTCTGCATGGAACGAATATCATCGCCGTGGGCACCATCGTAGAGGTGTGCACACTGTCGTGTCCAGCGCCACTATACATCCTTCTCGTCAGTGATCCTGCCTGTTCTCCGAACAACGACTCGCTTCCCTTCTCGATGCATTCAATACAATCCTTGTCAAAGTTGGCAACCTTGGCATCTGAGTCGACCTTCCAAGAGACAGTGCAACCACGACCACGAGTGCATCCCGCAGTGACTGTTCCAACATTCTCGCCCCTCGCAATGCTCTCAAAATCTCTTCGAAGAAGCTCTTCCATTTTGTTGATATTCTCATTCTCACTAGATCGCAGGTCCAGTGAGAAGGTAACGACCCCAGGAACGGTATTTGTGCTTCCGGGCTCCAGGGAGAGGAGGCCAGTGGACGCCAACGATTTGAACTCGGTAGCGACTTGATGTGACCGCAGAATCATTTGCGCACTGGTCAATAGAGCATCGGACCGGTTCTCAAAGTTAGTGGCTCCTGTATGACTGTCTCGGCCCCCGACGGTGATAGTGAACCATTTGCTGGCCTGGACTCCCTGGACAACACCGATACATTGATTGGATGCCTCAAGAATGGGCCCTTGCTCTGAATAATCATGTCAGTATGCGGTCACTTCTCGGCAAGACATCAGATTGCGTACCGATATGAAGCTCGAAATGAGCTGCCATGGGCGTTGCGGTGTAGTGCGCAGGTATGGCGCCCAAGTAACCTATCCTCTCCAGCTCGGACCTGACTGTGACATTTGCATCTTCGATATCAGCGATTCGATGTGTGCTGTTGACATCTGTAATGCCAGCCCACACAGCAGAAGCCATCATGCACTGTGGAAATCTTGCGCCCTCCTCACTGCGTGCTGTAAGCAATTACATCAATGATACCTGACTAAAGCCAGCACTTACTTGGTCCAGTCAACAACACCAACAGGGTACTCGGTTTCGGTTCCAGACTCATGCAGAGCTCTCAAGGCTGCAACTCCTCCGAGAACACCAAGGATACCGTCGTATCTGCCGCCAGCGGGTTGCGTGTCCAGGTGAGAGCCCATGAACGTAGGGTAGCCTTCTCTCCTGCCAGGCCGAATAGCGAAGATGTTGCCCATAGCATCCACCTGCACCTTGCAACCGTACTTCTTGACCTCTTTGATAAACCAATCTCGTACCATTTTATCTGCATCACTCAACGCTAGCCGGGCCATGCCGATCTCGGTCGGGGCGCTATTCCATTGTCAGCTTTTGTGATCTACCTGAAAGCGAGAGGACATGGCGCAGGCATACTCTCCCCATCTCTGTCCCCCTCCCCATTGAGCTGTGAGATGTATGTCATTCATCAGCCGTTGCCTATCTATAACCACTGTGGCTACAGGGCTGGCCCGCGACAGAATCTGGGCAGATGTAGTCATGGTTGCCGTCGTAGACATGTTTGCGGAGCGAAATGCGATGTCCCCTTTTCTTAGGTTCCGCTTATACAACTTGAAGGAAAGATGCAGTCGAATGGCTGTGTGAAGAGGAACAAAATCATGCTAATTTGTGCCTCGATATTTATCTTCTCAAATACATACACGGCTCGATGATCTACCGAGTATGAGCACTAGTACGGATAGTTGACTCCTGAACGTATTCTATCGTGGTACCATACCCACAAATTATTCGGCGAATTTGTCTCCACTACGATTCATTAACAGATTCGGCGGATTCTAGTTCCATAGTTTCGGCGAACACGAAACCTGACTGGTCAATTGCTTCTACGCCGGTTCCAAACGACCGCTTATCAACGGCTAATATAGCAGCCTAGATTTGTTATCAAGGCTTATTGTTGAACTGACCCGGCGAAACTTATCAACAGATACGGGTAATGCCGATAAGCTCGTTCAACATCATCGTTGGAGTTATCAACTATGCTGTCTTCAAAAAGGACAGCGGGGTCTCAACTCGAATCTCATCAAGTCCAATCACTTTCACCTCCCAGATACAATAATCATGGAGCACACCAAAGAAGCCAATATCAACTCTGACTTCATTCCGAGCAACATTACCGATTCACCACCTCCAACCATGGGTGAAAGCTCGATCTTGATCGATCCGGTCCTAGAGAAACGCGCCATCTCAAAATTCGACAAGTACATGATGCCGCAAATGGCGTTGCTTATGCTCATTGCATATCTTGACCGAACTAATATTGGTTTGTGAAAATTGCATCGCGTCCAGTCTTGTGGCCGTTGGTATTAACACGAGCTCTTGGCAGGAAACGCTCGAGTTTTTGGTTTCGAACAAGACTTGGGGCTCGTTGGAACACAGTTCAATGACCTGTCAACCTTATTCTATCCGACCTACGTCCTCTTCGAGATCCCCTGGGTCATGGCGGTTAAGAAATGGGGAGCTAACGCAGTCCTTGCTGTCGCCATGATCGGATGGAGTGTTGTTACTATCGCAACAGGGTTCATCCACAACTATTACCATGGAATTGCTGTCCGCCTCCTCCTGGGAGTTTTCGAGTCCGGCCTCTTCCCTTGTCTTGCTTTCCTGATTTCGACCGTCTACTCCCGGGCTCAGCAAGCCAAGCGCATTGCCGTGCTTTACGGTGCGATTGCCCTTTCAGGTGCTTTTGGTGGCCTCATTGCCTACGGCATCCAGACAATGGGTTCTAAGGCCGGACTCGAGGCCTGGCGCTGGCTGTTCATCATCGAGGGGTGCATCTCCATCGTGATTGGCCTGGCTCTCTGGGTCACGCTACCGTTCGACTCTGAGAAGGCATGGTTCCTCAACGAAGAGGAGCGCTACGTCATGAGCATGCGTGTCAAGAGAGATGTGGCCTATAAGGGGGAGAGAAAATTCGAGTGGAAGTATGCCAAAATGGCTTTTACGGAGCCCATTATCTACATTGCCGCCATCGGCATGTTCTGCTCGTCCGTTCCGCTATTCGGCTTCACCACCTTTTTGCCTACTCTCATCGTTGGTTTTGGGTAAGTCTCTTTTCTAGCTTTTCTCCCAGTGCCATTGAAAGTATGCATCTCACACATAGTAGATATACTTCCCTCCAGGCGAACTATCTCTCCATCCCGGTGTACGTCTTCGCCTGCATGTTTCTGTGTCTCGTCGCTTGGCTCTCGGACAAACTCAACAAGCGCGGCATTCTCGCCATGATCGTTCCAATTCCTGTCCTTGTTGGCTATGCGATCACCGTCGGCACTAGCAACCACGGCGCAGACCTCTTCGCCATGTTCCTCGTTGCTGCTGGTGAGTCCGGTTCGCGCCCTACTGAAGCTATCCAGCTCCTAATATGTCATAGGTGTCTATCCTTACAACACCCTTGTCGTCACTTGGGTGACAAATAATCTTCCCACCGACCACGTGCGCTCAATCGGTATCCCTTTGCTCATCTCCATCGCCAACGCCTCGGGAATTCCCTCATCCCAGATTTATCCGAAGAAGGACTCGCCGCGCTACATTATGGGCAACGCAGTCTCGCTCGCTATGGAGGCTATTGCTCTGGTTGCGGTCGGACTCATCCACATCCTCGTCCGTAGGAGAAACGCAAAGCAGGTTGGAAATGTATCTGGAGGTCTCCGGCTCGCGGTGTGAATGTGATCAGTGCTCATTCACTAGTACTGCGGTGCCCCAGGAGAACATGTGGAGGTGCCCGACACAATCTGATACATAGACATATCAAAAGTATCTTGCCATGAGCGCCGGGACTCGCTTGTGCACGTGTTGACCCACAGTTGCCGCTGAGATTTGCAGTGTCGGTCGTCCTAGAAGCCGTTTTGTAGAAACGCTCCAGCAATCATGCTTAGGATAGCGATGTGCAGCAGCTTCTGTAAGGTGGGTCCCAAATTTGATGTGCGCGGATTATGAATGCTGATGAGATCTCGGTAGTTTGCTTCCATCCGTGGGCACGATGCCCAAACGTTTGGGAAACCAGTGTATAGCGAGCATATAACAGTGCAATGTCGACTTCATGTCGAGTCTTTGATTACTTGTGCTACATATCTGTTAATCCTAAAGATCTTGTTCATGTTTGACCAGTACATCGCATCCAACCGTAGAATCCCAAGGCTCATGTCCTCGAAGCTTTGAGACTGGTGTCGCAATATTTGCCGCCACTTGTCGATCAGAATCTTGCACGTTTTTGCGTGCTGCACGCTTGGTGATTGGACAAAGAGTAAGGCAAGAAAGCTTGAGGTTATCGCCCAACCAATGCGAGACCCTAGGTTAGCCCACTAATTAGACATGTGCTTGTAACTGCGTACTTCCTGGCACAAACATGAGGCGTTACTTACAAGCATACCAGAAACCGGCAAAATCCCAAGACATCAGCTCGACGGTGAATGTGCTGATAATCCTCGCACAGTTTTCGGCAGCACATATAATCAGCTCTATCTCGTTTCGC